TAATACGTAATATAAGATGCAATTGGTTTAAGGATGATAGAGTCAAAAGAGAAAAGGAACCTTTGAAAATTCAAGAAATCCAGTACAATCAAAACATTAACATAGACCATAGTACTGTCGTCAATTAACTTTTATTTTCCCTGTGCAAGTAATAAAAAAAATGTCATTATTGTAAACACACTAAGGGGTCGTTTGATGTTAACGATAACTTAAAATAGTCTTGAGATTAAATTATAGTGCCACTTAATTTGTTGTTTGGTTGGCAAGTCTGGAATAACTTATCCCGGGATTAATAATTAGTACCGGGATAAGTTATTCCTTCCCATGGGTGGTATAGTAATCCCGGGATAACTTATTCCGGAATAAAATGATTAAATGACAAAAATGTCCCTTTAAACACTTTTTATACATCACTTTTCACATTCATGAAGGGTATTTTTGTAAACTTATATGTTGTTCTTCATATTTATTATTTTGAATACAACAAACCAAACACTCAATAAAAAATAATCTTAACATAACTTATCCCATCATGATTAATTCCAACATAACTTATTTCATCATAACTAATCCATCAAAACTTGAATTCAAACGAAACGATTCATAACAAATAAAATAGTTTAAAGGTCAAATCCTGAGCACAAATCAAATATAGTATAGCCCCAACAAATTGACATAAAAAAAGGTTTTAAAGTCATTATTAAGGAAACGGGTCGGGTCCACCAATATTAAACTCAACAAAGAATGAGTCCATTGGATTAGTGTTAAATACAGAAGCACCAAAAGTGGTTTTGGATAAAACAACGGTGAAACTGGAAGACATACTGACAAGGGGAGTAGGAAGGAAGGTACATGCATGTTAAAACATTTTCATTGGACAAAATTGTTATGTGAGATGAATAAAATTACGAATTTAATCGCCAAAATAAAAATAATCAGCAATAAATTGCTTTTTTTAAAAAAGTCTTATGTGGTACAAATTTAAATTAATTATATATATATATATGTATCATTTCTTTCTTTAATTAAGATTTATACGCAGGGGTGGTAAAAACTAAACTCACAAAAAATGTTATTTGTTTATTGTTATTGAGTTATTAGGTTAACCGTTTTTATAATGATTTTGCAAAGAAAATTTATCAAATTATTGGTTCGAATTTTGATTTTAAAAATATTTACCCAATAACTCATTAAGAAGGTAGTGATTTACTACTTTACCCATATATAAATATTAAATATTAATCTCCGTATTTTATTGGTTAGTGTATGTGTCCTTTAGCCTTCAGTTCACACTTCATATTAACTTTGAGTTTACAATTTCACATTATACAGAACTTCAAAACCTAAAGTAAGAACCATATTCCTCTTAATTTTTTCGTTGTGTTGCACTTATATATAGTTCTTTTCATATTAGCTATACTTGTTTCTATTTTATGAGCGTTCTGTAAATTAGTTACATTATTATTTTGTCGCATTAAATTATTGAAGAAGTCATATATTTGTTTTATAAGCAATTTTTTATTGGTTAGATCGAAAATCGAATCTTTAAGGATCAAACCGATAAAGATATCTTATTGATTTATTGTATTTAAAAACTGAAAATCGATAAATCATAGTGATAGTATATAAAACAAAACAGCTGATGTACATCCCTAATTATACAATATAAATCTTAATTAGACGAATTTACAATATAAATATCGAACATTGGATAAATAAATAAAGTGATCAAGCACTATATATTGTTTTCATGGTATTATTTTTCTCATGTCAAACCCAAGGTCTTGAAAATGTGAACTTAGTTTTCTTTCTTTTCAAAAAAAGAAAATTGAAAAAGAGGTAATTGGTTATTCAATGAACTCAACGGCCAACAACTACCACAATTACCGTGAGATGAGATTTGTACCAAAAAAGTTAAATGGATAAATAATTTAAAATAGTTACTACAAATTATAAATCATAAAGTTGAAGTGAATCTTAAAGTGAAGATAAAATTATCTTTATATAATTTATAAATTATGAGTTGGAACCATAAGATTATCTACTAAATTATACCTCTTGAAGTGCGATCATTTCCTAAATTAACATTAAGTACATCAAGTTATCCTTTATTTTCTATAGGTTGTGTTTGGTATGAAGGAAGAAACATTTTCTTTTTATTTGCTTTTTTTTAAGTTCAATTAATAATTTCTTTTGAAAAGTATTTTTTCTAAGAAAATAAATTATTTAAAAAATGAAGGTAAATGTCTTTCCTCTCTTGTGAAAGCAGGAAAAATAAGTTTTATTAGTAACATTAATGGTATTCTTCCATCCTTTTAAGTTTCAGACACACTTCATTTTCATCTTAGCCCCCTATTCTGATCACTCTTCAACTTCAATATTATTTTTCTAGATTATAATATACAATTCATTTTAGTATCATATTTTTTACTTACGTATCAAATATGAAAAAGAAAATTCATATTTTTTTCATGATTTTTTTTTTTAAAAAGAACATTTTTCTTGGATGAGCAAATCCGAAATTATAAAATTGTGTTTTTAAGAAAGTTTTTCTTTTCTTATTCGGTATTCGATATCTATACTAGAGTCTAACTAATCTGAATTCATATCATGTAGGGCCTAGTCAAGGAAAACCCTCCTTGATTATAATTTTTTTTTTATATATTTAGAATTTAAATCTGAAACCTCTAATTAAGTATACAGTGTGATGTGATGGTGTTTCTTAAAAAGAGCTTACTAGGCACTTAGCAAGAATTGATTGATATTCGTAGCATTTTGTTTGTATAATAAATAAAGTGATCCACTTGAGAAGACTCTACGTACACATTTTGTTTTGTATAAAAAGGGACCTCTACCATTCCATTCCTCATCACCATTCATAAGCAACACTCTTTCATTTGCTTCTTTTGATTTCCATCTTTGTGTTTCCTCCATCCATTTCATTACTTCCCTCTATTTATTCCTTTCAATATTCCTCTCTTTCCTTTTTATTCAAAAAAAGGTAAAACCTGCAACTCACATTTCTTTATGTTACGTCGGTGCGTAAGAATTTTGTTTCTCATTCATCATCATTCAAATTTTATCTTTTTCTCATCCGTAGATGTTAAAAAAAAGAAGGAATAATTTTCAGTTGCATTTGCTTGCACTACTACTCTTCTTCATCTACCTTTCGATTTTCAGAGTATCCTTTTTTGTTACCACCTCTTTTTGTCATATTCTGCTTTGTTACATGATGATCATTTTGCAAAATTTTTTTTCGTTTGTTGATAGAAAAGTCTGTTTCCTCAATTAGTCAGGTTCTAGAGTTATACTCTGCAAATTCTAATTTTACTTCCTCTGTTTTTTTTTCCAAATCTTTGACAAAATTTATTGACAGAAAAGTCTATTCGAAACCATCACTGCTAGAAAACAATGCGTTATCCTTTGAAACATAAAACATAATTTGTCGAGAAGACAAATCAAAAATAAGAAACAAAAATCCTCACATCTCTTTTCTTCTTTTTCTCCTGTTAGTACTGCTCTGTTTTTCTTCTCTCTGTTTTTTTTTTCATTTACTCAAACTGTTGTTTCCTTATTCTAGCTATTTTGTTTGTTTCCTTGCGTCTAAACAAGTAGTTTTCGAGCTTGGTGGAATGGTTAAGATTCTTTTTTATCTTTAGTTTGTTTAGTCAGACTTGAGTTTCAGATATTGAATGATTAAAAAAAAAGTAGTTCTAATTCAAGACGTATTTTATCTTCATGATAATGTTTTAGTATTTGATTTCGTCACAATTTCTTCCTAGTTTTTTGTTTTTTGTGTTAGATGTTGAAGGGGAAATTTTGTTGTTGTTTACTAGATGCTAGATGGCATATTCTTTCACTTTATTCCTTTTAAAATAAATATATGAAGGGTACCTATTGATCAAATATATATAGTATGTGTTTTTTATTTAATTGTTTAATTATTGTGTGGTCCAAGTAAAACAGTGAAATACGACTACTAGTAACATATATTTTTTTTAAGGGAAAAGGCTCAAATATGCCATCAAACTTTTAGAAAAGGCTCATTTATGCCATCCGTTAAAAGTTTAGCTCATTTATGCCATTGCTGTTAAAGAAAAGGCTCATCCATGCCATTTTTTTTAACTCCGGTTTTGCAAAACCATTTTTTACACACCAAACATGGTTTAACACTTTTCTATTGGTGTTTTTGGATCAAATGCACATTTTTTACTTCACATCCTTAAGAACACCAAGAACACATAAAGAACATTAACAATTCCCAAATTTCAAACTTATTCAATTCTTCATGAATCGCCTCAAATTTCAAGAGTAGTTTCGCTCCGAGCTAGATACCAAAACTCAATTTCTTTTGAAGCTCGAATTCAACCTAACTCAACAAGATCCAATTGAAATTTTTTCGAAGTTTCAAAACTTGAACATTCTTTAATGGTAGATTCTCCAAAACTTCAAATCATTTGAAATTTTGAACATAAACTCAAAAAACACTAGTCAACAAAGATCTAATGGTAAAAACAAGAATCAAAGCAAATTTTGAAATTTTGGGACTGTATTTTTGTTTTTTGGAATATATATTTTTAAATATGGGTGAATTTTTTGAACTCTACAAATGATTTTAGAATTTTTGTTTTTTTAAAAAAGAAATTAATGGTGTAGCCGAAATTTGAGATGATTTCGTGAAGAATTGAAGATGTTGAAAATTTTGGAGTTGTTTATGTTCTTCATGTGTTCTTGGTGTTTTTAAAGAAAAACAAGCAAAAAAATGTACATTTGATCCAAAAACACCAATAGAAAAGTGTTAAACCATGTTTGGTGTAGTAAAAAAATGGTTTTTGCAAAAACCGGAGTTAAAAAAAATGGCATGGATGAGCCTTTTCTTTAACAGCAATGGCATAAATGAGCCTAAACTTTTAACGGATGGCATAAATGAGCCTTTTCTAAAAATTCGATGGCATATTTGAGCCTTTTCCCTTTTTTTAATAATAGGAAGATCAGTGCAAGTTCTCTCTGTTGTGTTTTTATTGGGCCACATTTATCTTGGTTGTCACGTATTGTATTCTGCATTTATTTGATAACTCTCATGTCATTATATTGGTAGGTCTGCTAGTTTTTATTATTCCGTCCCTCTCATATTTCGAAATACGTTAGTTTGATTAGATATGAAGTTCATGAAATAAAACCAAAAAATTTATGATTTTAGGTAGGATATTTGAATTGAAAAACTTACTAGAATATTTTTATTTTTTTGGAAAATATTATAGTAGTAGTGCTAGGTGGGGTTGAAAATTTGTACTACTATATTCTAGATCATTGGAAAATTAGGTGACTTATTTTTCCCACAATCTCATCTCTTTTAATAATAATAGTAGTAATATGTTAAATATTTTTATGATTTTTGAGTTAACAGTATTTTGTTTGTGTGTTGAAAGTCATCTTGAGGATTTGCAGGTGCAATGGCTGAACGTGTTCTGACTCGTGTTCACAGCCTTCGTGAACGTCTTGATGCTACTTTGGCTGCTCATCGCAATGAAATTTTGCTCTTTCTTTCAAGGTATGGTTTTAGAGCAATCTTCTTGCCTTTTGATTTAGTTGCTGTTGTTTGCCCGTTTAGTTTCGCTTGGTATGTTGTACAAGCATAAGTAGTTTAATCATGAGTTATTCTTGGTGTATTAGGATCGAAAGCCACGGAAAAGGGATCTTGAAACCTCACCAGCTGCTGGCTGAGTTTGAATCAATTCACAAAGAAGACAAAGACAAACTGAATGATCATGCCTTTGAAGAAGTCCTGAAATCCACTCAGGTAACTTGGTTTTATTGTATTGAATTTTCTTACTAAGCTATCAGTTTGTGCTTGCATTTGAAATATTTATGTGTTATTCGTCATACTAGGAAGCAATTGTTTTACCCCCATGGGTTGCACTTGCTATTCGTCTGAGGCCCGGTGTGTGGGAATATGTCCGTGTGAATGTTAATGCTCTTATTGTTGAGGAGCTGACTGTGCCTGAGTTTTTGCAATTCAAGGAAGAACTTGTTAACGGAACGTAAGTTTTACGTTTGAATTTGATGATTAGTTATCTAATTAACATTTTGATTAATGTTGTGATTTTCCCTGATGCAGTTCCAACGATAACTTTGTTCTTGAATTGGATTTTGAGCCCTTCACTGCATCATTTCCCAAACCAACCCTCACCAAATCAATTGGAAATGGAGTTGAATTCCTCAACAGGCACCTCTCTGCTAAAATGTTCCATGACAAGGAAAGCATGACCCCTCTTCTCGAGTTTCTTCGAGTTCACCACTACAAGGGAAAGGTAAATTTACTGTTTCTGATAGTGCTTTTCCTCCGCTAAATTAATTTCCAGTATTTTTGCATCCAATAAATGATTAACATGTTCCAACTATCATTTTCTGTGCAGACAATGATGCTAAATGATAGAATTCAGAATTTGTATACTCTCCAAAAAGTCCTGAGGAAGGCTGAGGAATACCTCACCACCCTTTCCCCAGAAACGTCATACTCGGCATTTGAGCACAAGTTCCAAGAAATTGGCTTGGAGAGGGGTTGGGGTGACACCGCAGAGCGTGTTCTAGAGATGATCTGCATGCTCCTGGATCTCCTCGAGGCTCCTGACTCGTGTACTCTTGAGAAGTTCCTTAGTAGAATTCCTATGGTTTTCAATGTAGTTATACTTTCACCTCATGGATATTTCGCCCAGGAAAATGTCTTGGGTTACCCCGACACTGGTGGCCAGGTGCATTGCTTATTTGTGATCTCTTTGTCTTATTCCTTCGAAACCTATTGCTGCAAGTGCTGAGTTCCCATTCCTTTAATTTGCAGGTTGTCTATATTTTGGATCAAGTTCCTGCCTTGGAGCGTGAGATGCTCAAGCGCATAAAGGAGCAAGGACTTGATATCAAACCACGTATTCTTATTGTTAGTATTCTCAGAAATTGTGCTTATAGATTATGATTATGCAGGATTTTGATTTGTTCTAATGCAACATCTGATCTTTGTTTAAATTCGCAGGTTACTCGGCTTCTGCCTGATGCAGTTGGTACCACTTGTGGTCAGCGACTTGAGAAAGTATTTGGAACTGAGCATTCACATATTCTTAGGGTCCCCTTTAGGACTGAAAAGGGCATTGTTCGCAAATGGATCTCTCGTTTTGAAGTCTGGCCATACATGGAGACTTTCATTGAGGTGAAGCAACCTTTCTGTATTCATTTTTCAATCTTCTAGTTGATTTTTGCAGCAATTTTCTACTTACACTAAAATTGTGACTTTTAATACATTAGGATGTGGGGAAAGAAATAACCGCAGAACTGCAAGCTAAGCCCGACCTTATTATTGGAAACTATAGTGAGGGAAACCTCGCTGCCTCCTTGTTGGCTCACAAGTTAGGTGTAACACAGGTCTGTAACATTGGTCACATGTATAAGATTAACTTTGCATTTCCTTTCATTTGGAACTCAAAGTTTTAAGAATTCTCTTCCGTTTTGTCTACTTTGCCTTGATCTGCAGTGCACCATTGCTCATGCATTGGAGAAAACCAAATATCCTGATTCTGACATTTACTTGAACAAATTTGACGAGAAATATCACTTCTCAGCTCAGTTTACCGCTGATCTTATAGCAATGAATCACACTGATTTCATCATCACCAGCACCTTCCAGGAGATAGCAGGAAGGTATGACATCAATTTCGTGCTCTGATTAAATTGTTCTTCTTCCTGTTTCGTTGTGTTTGATCCTAAATCTTTTTTCTCAATTTTTTTAGCAAGGACACCGTTGGACAGTATGAGAGCCACATGGCCTTCACAATGCCTGGATTGTATAGAGTTGTTCATGGCATTGACGTGTTTGATCCCAAATTCAACATTGTGTCACCAGGAGCTGATGTGAATCTCTATTTCCCATACTCCGAAAAGGAAAAGAGATTGACAACTTTTCACCCTGAAATCGAAGACTTGCTGTTTAGCGATGTCGAGAATGAAGAACACCTGTATGTTTCTATAATAGTGCAAAATTGTGTTTACTGATATAAACAAGTTTGTACTGAATTGATTTATGTTCCTATATCAGGTGTGTATTGAAGAACAGGAATAAGCCCATCATATTCACCATGGCAAGATTGGACCGAGTGAAGAATTTAACTGGACTCGTCGAGTGGTATGCTAAGAATCCACGACTAAGGGAGTTGGTTAACCTTGTTGTGGTTGGTGGAGACCGAAGAAAGGAATCCAAAGACTTGGAAGAGCAGGCAGAGATGAAGAAGATGTATGAACTTATAAAGACTCACAATTTGAATGGCCAGTTCCGATGGATTTCTTCCCAGATGAACCGCGTGAGGAATGGGGAACTCTACAGGTACATTGCTGACACCAGGGGAGCTTTCGTGCAACCTGCATTCTACGAGGCTTTTGGTCTGACTGTTGTTGAGGCCATGAGCTGCGGTTTGCCTACATTTGCAACAAATCAAGGTGGTCCAGCTGAGATCATCGTTCACGGGAAGTCTGGTTTCCAAATTGATCCATACCATGGCGAGCAGGCTGCTGATCTTCTGGCTGATTTCTTTGAGAAATGTAAGGTAGACCCTTCACATTGGGAAGCCATTTCTGAGGGTGGCCTTAAGCGTATACAAGAGAAGTAAGCTGCTCATCTTTTCGTCCTACCACATGATCATTATTGAGTGCATTAATTCAAAGTGATTCTAATCTCCTGTTGCTGTAGGTACACATGGCAAATCTACTCCGATCGGCTGTTGACACTAGCTGCTGTTTACGGGTTCTGGAAGCACGTTTCCAAGCTCGATCGTCTTGAAATTCGTCGTTATCTTGAGATGTTTTATGCTCTCAAATTCCGCAAGCTGGTAAGTCTCTCTGCTTTCTGCACTTTTCCAATTGTCTAAAGCAACTACTAATGGAACTTCTCTATTTTGTTTTGATTCAGGCTCAACTTGTTCCATTGGCTGTTGAGTAAATTGACAAAGAGGAGAAGGCTTCTGCCTAATTGTTATCCATATTGTCCTTTAGAAATTGTTTGTCCTAGTTTGCTTTTCCCCCACATTTGATGTTTGAGAACTGAATTGTCTTTTTTATTTGCATTTTTTCCCTTCTGTAGTCATGAAGAGGATTGCAAATTTGACATTATGTAGTGTTACTGTGAATAAAATATCAAATTTCAATCTGCTCTATCCATCTTTTTAACCATTCTCTTATTGGAATTAAACACATTCTCTCTGCTTTCACAAGTGAGTGATAAAGTCTGCGTACATATCAACTTCTCTAGATCTTGTTTGTGGGATTACATTGAGTTTGTTGTCTATTTTAAAATATACTTCTTCCGTTCAACAATAATTGTCTACTATACTATTTTGTGTGTCAAACAATATTTGTCCACTTTATGAAATTAATGAATAATTTAACACTTAGTTTCTAATGTACCCTTATAATTAATTATAGTCATTTCTCTATTACATTTTTCAAGACATTATATTTATTATATTTCAGGGGTGATATAGTAAAATAAACTTTTTATTTATAATTTTTTAAGAAGGGCGCAAATTAAATAGAAAAAGTCTTTTTTGTCATTCCAAGTTATTGTCAAGGTCAATTTTGCCAACCACCTTGGAGACAACTATATTGGATAGTGATGAAATTCTTATCCTATATTTGACAAAAGGTCAAAAGAAGAATAAAAGCTAAACTTTTTTACATTGATAGCCTTGATGAGAGACCCTATTCCATTTGGGATATTCTCTAGAAGAAAAATAATTTTGTCCTTGAAATTGAAAGAGATAACTATGAAATAAAAATGTGGGCAAAAAGAAGTATATATCATTAGACTTCTAGGAGTCATTCTCGGGTCTATTTCTTGTGTTCCAATTATGGGATGGATGGATTTTTTTTAAAAATAATTGGGGCTAGGAAATGGAGAAATAGGAAAAAGAATTATGAGAATTCGAATCTTTATCAAGAAGATAAAGTTCACATAGTCAATCAATTGAGCAATTTAGATTCTCATGACTTAAGAGGAATTGTTGGAATATTCTACGGTTAATTAGAGGTTTGATACACGTGTAGTACCTCCTAATAACAATGTATTTCATACTCATGTGGATTATTTGCTTTTTCTTTGCTTCTACATCTCTAAATGAGACATACATAAATTGGACGGACCAATAATAAAACTTGGTTTCTTACGTTACTACATGGGTATTACCTCATAACAATAATGCATTCAATACTCGGATGGAGGAATGATCTCAACTATTGACGTAATCTTTATCTTGTTCCAAAAACTCTATAAAAAAATGGATATTTACATCCACTTCTTTAGAAGTTAATTACTTAGATTCACGCTAGTTTGCAAATTGCAATATTACGTTCATTACCACATTTTCGGCCTCGGATATATGTATCTGCCTCTTCTAGATACATGTATCCAAGATACATGTAAGACAAATACATATCAATTAGTGTGTCTAATTAAGATTTATAATTGAAAATCATTAATGAAGGAGTACGTCTAATTAAGGGATATAATTGAAAGTCATTAATGAAGGAGAAAATCACTCTTTTAACAACTTTAGAGGATATGACATATTACAATTCCTAAAAAAAATCAAAACAATTAAAATCCATTTTTTTGGCGATTCAGTAAAATTTACACTTCTTAACATGGATTCTTGAACTCTTATTCAGATACATACGTATATTTTACTAGATACATTTACACTTAATTAAATAAAATGATAAAAATTAGATACATATAATCTTAATTCAATAATGTGTTACATACATCAATAATGTGCGAGATACATTAATATATAGTGTGTCAAATATATGCGTAAATCTCCAATACATGCGTATATTTTGTCAAACACATATACATTTAATCAGATACACTGATAAAAACTAGAAACATATAATCTTTGCTCATTAATGTGTTAGATATATCAATAATGTGCTAGATATATGCGTAAGTCTCTGCTTATTGAAACTTTTTGGCTGATTTGACATCTAACCACGACGGTGTTTGCTTCACCTTTTGCTTTGTTGATGTGAGAAACAGTGCTCCGTGGCTATGACTTACCATCAACATCTCGGAGTCGAAGAAAATGATGAGTTGGCGCTGATGATTTTTCATTGGAGAAAATTAAATTAAGAAAATCTTAAATCAATAGAGTTTTACCTTAACTTTTGAAAATCAGAAGACATGACAAATAAAAATTTGTCACATATACATAACTTAGAACAATTGTTAAGTAGATACAAACCTCAAATTAGTGTGCTCTTGTTCCAAATTTCAATTTTAAAATTTTAATGGTGAAAATCGTGGCGAGGAGAATGAAGGAAGAGATAAATGTGGTAGAGGATGTGGAGTGGGAGGCTGATGAGATACATATAGTTTGATTGTTATTAAAGCATGAATTGGGGACGGTGACAGTAAAATATGAATTGAGGATGGTTTAATTATGCATATAACTAATCTAGACTATTTCTTTTTAGGAATATATGTATCTGAAGGTATTTTCTCATTCTATGGTATAAAACTCTTAACTAGTGATATTGTTTGAAAGTATAGTTAGGATTAGTATACATGATAGTGATGTGCATTTAATAGGAAAAATTACCTAATTACACAATCTTTTTTAACCATATTTTCTAAAATTTTCTACCATTTGAAAAAATTACAATAATGTAATGAGCCTCCAGGTCATTTCTGTGTACCCTACTTCTTTTTGTCGTTTAGAGCGTTCCTATAACGACCCCAAATCATTTATGACTTGCTGGCACTGACTGTTCGGTCGCTTGGTCGTTCGTTTGGATCTTGTGCAGCTTTCCGTGTTTTAGAGACCTTAAAGCTTAAATAGTTGACTTTAGTCGAAACGTCATGTAACGACCTCAGAATGGAATTCTGACGGTTCCATCAGCTCCGAAATGGCCAAGCTAGGCTAGTAGCATGACTGGCACGAGTATCGAGGCCTTCGATGTGAGTTTGGATCATTAGGCGTTTTAGCCTTTGAAATTTGGCCTAAGGTGACTTTGGTCAACATTCTTGGAAAACGTGCTCGGATGAAAATTTCGTCAGCGCAGTTATCCCCGGAATGTCGAGTTTGGTCCAGAACGACCTTTCGTTCGACTCTCGAGGCCTCCAGACTCATTCCGAGCCCCAAATTATGTCCCATTTTGGGACATGAGCTCGGGGAACTGATTATGACCTATTTTTGGAGTTAATTCTAGAATTTCCAACGCAGGTCCCACTTTCCCCATTTTGACCCCGAAATTGGTTTGTCTCTGTTTCTTGTGATGTTAGTGTCTAAACGATCGTAATAACATTTTGACGCTATTTTTTATAGCGTGGCAGCATTTCGAGGCCGTTCGAAAAGGGAAAGCTCCGGAGAAGTGATTTGGAGCACGCGTGATCGGCCTACAGGTAGGATACGGCTTCCCTCTCTTAGATTGAGCTCGAGCATGTGAATGCATGTTGATTAGTTGGGATTTGGGTTGGGTAGTTATTGAATCATGCATAGGTATTTAGAAATCATGTTTTCGACCAATATAAGGAATTATCGGGTAACTGTAAGTATGCTATGTGTTATTAATTGACCCTCTTTGCTATGTGGAGTACATGTATGCTTGATTACTATTTATTGAAGTATGTTGGGCCTTAGTTTAGGTTTGACTAGGGCTTGCCTTAGAAATGCGTGATTCGGAACTGTTAGGCCTTAGTTTTACCCCGATGTCACTCGGTCGACTTAGATCCCTGTAGACTGGTGTAGCAGACTTGAGTATGATAGTTTTGGCCTTAGCTAGGTGATACGTTTGCTCCGACGATAGTTATCCTTATTCCTCTGATGCTACGGCTTCACGAGTTACGTCGGTGACACTGGGTTCCGCTTCATGATTTGAAGTTGGTTTTCGATTCAGTCCAAGGACTTACATTGATTGGCTAAGTGTGGACGGCGTTCCACAGACATTTATGATCATGAATCGATTGAGACTCTTTCAGCAGCTACATTGGCAACTTTGTCGAGCATCCGAATTCGAGCTCCGGCCTCGATTTCATTGATATTTTTGAAGAGCATCCGGTTCAAGGTCCGGCCTCGATCACCCGGATACTTATATAGAGCATCTAGTTAAAGGTCCAACCTCAATTACTTGATACTTGTGATTGGTTACTTGGGTACTTCTGGTAAGCATTCGGTTCGAGGTCCAGCCTCCGTACTGTCATATTCTACTAATTGGGTTTGATGTTCTGGTTTGATGTTCTCCGGTCTTGGGTTCTGTTCTCTTTAGTTATAGTTATTTAGTGTACTATTCGAGCTTATGGGGTCCGTTCGGGTTTCATTTAAACTTGCGCACGAGTGTACCTTCTAGGCTTATGGGGTCTAGTTAGCTGTAGTTAGCTTATATATTACTTTAGTTAGTTCTTTCTACACTTGTGTGCATTCCATTGTTTACTTAGACTTCCACTCTTGACCTCTGTTTGTTCTATTCCTTCTCTTCATATTGCCTTTACTCTTCAAGCTCAGTTGGCTTATGATGCCTACTAGGTACCTGTTTTTTTGGTACTCATCCTACGCTCTGCATTTGTTTTCGTGATGCAGGTCCGAGCACTAGTGGCCAGCGTTGACATCATTCTTGGAGCAGTCTGATCCGGAGACGGGGGTAAGCACACGACATTTTGTACTATTTCAGTCTCCATCTGTATATAGACTTGTCTTGTACCTTTCGAGACAGTCCATTTTTTTGTGGTCCATTTTTTAGACTTGTACTCGTTTTGTTAGTAGTTCTGTACTAGTGACTTCCAGGTTCTGGGAGGGATCTTTATTTGTATATATATGTTTCGGTTTGCTTCCGCCTGTTTATATTGTTATCTTATATTTTGCCTACTCTTGTTTAGTTTCTGCCCTCAGTCTCATTACTTGCTATTTCGGGTTACATGTTGGCTTACCTACTGGTGGGTTATAGTAGGTGCCATCATGACTCGAGAAATCAGGTTGTGACAAGTTAGTATCAGATCCCCAGGTTCACTGGTCTCACTTGTATAGAGATAACATTTAGTAGAGTTCTGCGGATTAGTGCGGAGACGTCTGTAACTTATCTTCGGGAGGCTGCAGGATGTCTTTAGAAAGATTTCCTTTTTTGTTTCACTTTCGTGCGATGTGTGTCTTATTGGTTCCTTGAAATCTCACTTGTTTC